AACTCTGTATATTTACTAAAAAATCGCTCAATTGTATGCTTTAAAAAATTCCTACATCGTCAAGAGGGCTCTTTATAGCGCCCTCTCATCCTCACAGCTCACCCTCAGAAAGGGAGCAGAAAGAATCGTGCATTCTGTTCGGGGCGCTGGATGCCACCACCCAGGAGCCTGACTCGCTTGAGCATACATGATACCCCAGGCCCTGTTCTGAGCCCCAGCATGTAGCAGATACAGTTGATCCTTGAATAACATGGGTTTTAAAATCTGCAGTCGGAAATCTGTGTTTTGTGGAGGGCCAACTAGTAATTATACGAGGATTTTCGACTGCCCAGGGGATCAGCAACCCTAACCCCCAAGCTATTCAGGAGTCAACTGTATTCAGCCCTCACAACACCCTCGCAAGGCGGGGAAACTGAGGCACTGGGCAGTTTAGCTTACGCATGTTTACGAGAAAGGAAATAGTGGGGGTTTTGAATTCCAGTGTGGTTGGCAGAATAATGGCTTCCAAAAATGTCCAGGTCCTAATCTCCAAGGCTGAGAATATGTCACCTCACATGGCAAAGGGACTTGGCAGATGGGATTAAGTTAAAGATCTTGAGTTTGGAAGTTATCCTGGATTGTCCGAGTAGGTCCAGTGGATCACAGGATCCTCATAAGAGGGCGGTAGGAGGATCAGAGCCAGAGAAGGACACGGACCGACAGAAGCAGTGATGTGGGGCCTCAAGGTAAGGCCAGACAAACCCAGACAAGGCCAGGAAACAGATTCGCCCCTGGGGCCTCCCAAAGGAACCAGCCCTGCAGACACCAGCTTCAATGATTTTGGACTTCTTACTTCCAGAATTGTAGGATAGTCAATTTGTGTTGTTTTAGCCACTAAGCTTGTGCTACTTTGTTATAGCAGTCACAGGACACTCACACGCCTACCCATACCCAGTTTCTCATGCTACCGGGCCAGTTCCTTTCCATGGAATCGGTGAACTGCATGGGGAAAAAAAAAAAAAGAACGCAGGAGAACGTATAACATGAAGTGAAATGCAGAAATGCTCCAAAGAAATGGTGCAAATGAAGGCGTTCTATTTTTCTGGGACACCATGCAGTAGCTCGCTAGGAAAGAGGAGTGGGGACTCTGGGGCACACGTTTTCCCGCCAGAGAGCAAAGCATGCACAGTGCTCAGATGGGACCTCCAGACCTGGGCTGACAAGCCGGGGTGATGACCCAGGCTGATGGCTGCTAGCCAAGGTTGACATAAGGAAGAGGGGGGGTGAAAGGTGACAGCTGTGTCCCCCAGAGCTGTGGGGCAGGAGGGGGAGGCCAGGCAGCACCTATCTCTTCCTGCTTAGACCCACACTTGATGATGAAACAACTTTTGTTTGGATTTAACTGATTTCACAATTTTTTAAATTTGCCCAGAGACTGGGTGAAGTTTACTTGGAAAACTATTTCTTTGTAATGAATATCAGAAGATTTAAAATGCTTAAATTATGTTGAGCATTTCAGAAAATTATCCATCTAAAAACAAGAACTATCCTTTTATCTTTCGATGAAAGCAGAATGCCAACAGACTTCCATCAAGTGACCATTACCTAGTTTAACACTCATAAGAAAATCCTATTTAAGCACATTCTCTCCATTGAACTTTTTGCCTTCCTGTGATTCAACTGCATTTTGAGGCCATGTCTGATGTCAACAGACCACACAAAAGTGTGATGTGCTGGGTTAACCTCAACCCACTCCTCATGTGAGATGCTAACTCTCTCAGTTCCCAATTATTCTGTGACTAGACTAAAGC